CGGCATGTTCGTACTGGTCTTTTGGCTAGACAAGGGCGTAGATGGGTTCAGAATTGACGCAGCTCCCTATTTGTTCGAACATGCCGATTTTCAAGATGCACCGCCGCCTGATAATGTGTCACGTAGTTATGTTCAGAATCAACCAGAAACGTATGATATGATTTATCAATGGCGACAAGTTATTGACGATTACAATAAACAGAACGGCGGAGATACCAGGTAACAGCCACGTGTTAATGGCAGGAGATGTGAATCAATAGCCATATTATAAGAACTGCTTCTTCCAAACCAATAATATAAGAAATCGTGCCCCTTTTTGGAACATTTCGAAAACTTACGCTGGTACCAATACTTTGTAATTTATCTTGTAAAGTGAAGATAGTGGCAGATTTTTTTTTTTATAAAAAAAGCAATTCTTGTTTGTATGTCTATTTTCCATTCGCACGGATTTTGTGTATTTGAAAATCTCTGTTTCGATAGGGTACTCATGACCGAGGCATACACCCCTATAAACAGCACTATGCTCTACTATGGTAATGAAACAGTCGATGGAGCTCATTTTACTTTCAATTTCTATCTGATAATCAATACTACAAATAACAGTACTGCCAACCAGGTCGTTTCAGTAATAAACACATGGTTTCAAAACATGCCAAGAAGATTTGTAGCTAATTGGGTGGTAAGAATAGTTATCCAGATATCTCATTCAACTCCTAAGATTGAATTTTATAATCGATTTCATTATTAAAACAATAAAACTTAAAATTCCACATAAAAACGTTAAAAATCTATAAAAGGTGTTTTTGCTAATTTTCCTGTATTAATCGATTGTTTTGTTATAAGATTACAAATTGATTTTCCATTTAAGGAATTTTACTATAGAGATTTTACGTGATTGGGAATCGTTTTTTGTTGCGTTTTAGTTGGGTAATCACGACAGACATAGAGTAGCCACCCGTCAAGGGGTTGAAAATGTGGATGGATACAACATGTTGATAACCCTTCTACCGGGTATAGCTAACACTTATAATGGAGAAGAAATTGGAATGGAAGACGGAGAAGTAACATGGGAAGAAGGACAAGATTCAATAGCATGCCAGTCAGCCAGGGAAAACTTCCAGAGTACAAGCAGAGATTTTCAGAGGACTCCGTTCCACTGGGACTCTACGGTTAACGCAGGATTTAGTACAGCGAATAAAACTTGGCTGCCAGTCAGTTCAAAATATAGAACAAACAATCTTGAACTACAAAGTAGAGACGGGGTAAAAAGTCACTTCCATATCTACCAAGATCTAATGAAATTGAGGAAAGAAAACACTTTCATTTTCGGAAACTTGAACATAGAGGTTTTAGATACTAATGTTTTTGCATTTACAAGGGAATTGGATGGTAACGACACCTACGTTTTTATATTTAATAACGGATATAATTCTGCCACTGTGTCATTATCTTCGTTTAAATCTATCGCTGACTGTGCGGACGTTAGAGTAGTTCTATCCAGTACCAACTCATTGAGAAACAAAGGGTAAGATGTGTAAAATTAAATACTTTATTTAGTAAGAAGTAACGCCCACACAGTATCCAGCTATCAATTAACGATAATAATTGATAATTGATGCGTTCTTTTTAATTCTACAAGACAGAAAACATTTTATGACCTCTACTGGATTGTACTTTTATTATTATTTCAGGGATATCATCCCAATAAACAACTTACATTTGGATGCGCATGAAGCAATAGTGGGAAAATCAGGATCAACTCATTTAGTGCATACGATGGAGTATTTATAGTTTCCTGTTAATAATATTGTTATTTCGATTTTCTTAATTAAACTGATTGTATTATATGTTGTGTTATTTTTGGAACAATATAGTTTAGTTTTTATTTCTCTGTTTTTTTCTCATCTACATGTCTCGGAAAATACACTATTGTGGTCAAAGATCTGTACAAAAGCAAAAGTAGGCAGTTTTAAGTATAAAGATTGCAGCCCTCATTCTTCAGTATTCCTATCAGGGGCGTAGATTAAATATTTAAAAGCAGGGATCAGTGAGTAAGTAATAGACATACAAACTGAAGAACTAATTGTTGATGTTGGTGACAGTGATAGAGATTCCCATGATGAGAGTGAATGTGAAAACTAACTATAAAACAAAAGCAATAGGTTAATTTTCTCTTTTTGATAAGTCATGTTTCTACATTATTTTCTAGTACGCTACTGTCCTATCTGTATTAATACTATAATTTACGCCTACTGAAAGCTTATTTGTGTATCGGTTCCATGTGACTTACCCAAATAGGTCATAAATGGGCAAGTACCTGCGCGACCACTCGCCAGCTTCCTTCGTCAGACCTGTACAATACTGTAAAGCGCTAGGAAAGCAGGGTAACTTTTGGCGCAGCCAATTGGCCTCGTCTGCTATTTACCCTACTCTCAAACCATCTACCTGTTAGCCTGCTGGGACGCTTTTCATATCTCACCAACTGCTCCTAATGATGTTTTTAGCGTTGCTTTGGAGACCCTACCCGTGGGATTTATCTCATAGTTAGTAGCCAATACCGGGGTAATGTTTCCGTTCTAACTAGCTTTCCGCTAAATCGTCCCTAATTTTTAAGTTTTTAATTAATCGTGAAGCCTCCTATAAAGTTAGGTTAAACAATCACGCGATCAATGTCAATTAATTAATTTTGCTTTTGAAATGGAATGTGTAAACACCAAAAGTCGTTGGTGATAGCATTATCGAATGCGATCAACAGGAAGCACAATTGGCCCGCCAAAAGCCTAATACGTCTATAAGGAAGAGTGGCAGAAATTGTTCACGCATGCATCACATGAAGCCACGTGTAAGGTTTGGTCATAAATTGACGAGATGACATCAAAACATGCGTCGCCTACAAACATACGTCAACATACACAAAATCACAAAATATTTCGCGTAAGCAGCAACAGCTATTAATTCAATACGATCGTTTTGGCTTATAGAAAATTTTTTGTTAATGTTATGCCTTTTTTTCTTCTTAGTTTGTTAATTTTTCGTTAACTTCCTTTTTAGTATTGAATATATAAACTGGAGAATGCTTTCGTTTTGTTGTTATACGCTAATTAAATTTGTGTATATTACCTCGTTACTGAGATGCAGAATTTCAGAAATAATTAAAAATTTTGGCAATGAGGCTTTCTTCTTGCATGATAAGTTCATGAAAGTCGTAAGAGAAATAAATGAATAAGTAAAGAAAAAAGACTTCTGTAAAAATAAATACAGAAAGACTGCATAATTATACTAAAATTATATATTTTGCAAAGAAAAGTTATTTAGTGATATAAATATTGATTTGAGAATGCGAAGTGATAGTAGAACAATAAGAGGAGTACGTTAGCTCATTGCAATAAGGTGTAAAAAGAAAAAGAAAGACACAATTCAGAGGAAGGTGAAGTTGAAAAGGTAAAAGTAATTGAAAATAGGGTAAATGGCTGTACATGTTAACTGGACAGGAAATCAGAGTCGTTTTAAGTTAGTTAAATTCTTCTCCAACAAGCATGTTGAAGAAAATGCAATTAGGCATAAAGAATTATTAAAAAGTTGGTTAAGCGAAGATTGAATTTATAAATAGAAAAAGAAAAGTGTAGTTAAGGACGTTATTAAGGAAGGATTTAGCAATGCTGGTGGTAAGCAGTTAAACGGGAAGTTACCAGGAATCACAGAGATGCAAGGATTCTTACGGAAACATAGAAATTAAAAGTAAACATAAAAAGGTATCTATTTGGTGCAAGTTAGTTATGTTTTGAAAAGAAAATTGAACTGTTTACGAATAGTAAAAATTTGAAAGGTACTAAAATATACATATATGAAGATTTGGCCACTAATGAAAGAATATTTACAATGTAAAGAGAACTCATAAAAAGGTATAGGTGTAAGCAAAGTAAGTGGACAGTTGGCAAAAATGTTTATCTATGTAACCGAAAAGAAAAGCATTAATTAAAGAGCAGATAAAATATTTAGAACGGTTGCAGTAATGAGATAATAAAGGAGTGTAAAATGGAAGTATTGAGGACTCGAAAATAGTTAATAAACATAGACAAAAAGGATTTGTAGGAATAAGCGATATCAGTATTTCAAGGAGGTGTTAGAAATGAAAGTATATTTTTGCAATTTGATATTATGAAAGAGAAAGGAGACAGAAGAAAGTAGAAAAGGAGCCATCTACATATTAAGTGAAAATAATAGCTAAAGTGCTAAAGTTACTGTACTATTGGGAAAGATATGCGAAATATATCAGCAGCTAGGTTGAAATATTTGGAGGAAAAACATGACGTTGTTTAATACATTAATTAGAAGTACATACTGCGTGTTATGGAGTTGGGAGAATACTAGCAAGTAGAAGGCTTTTACATATAAAGCAGTACATAAAATATGTATTGGAACAGAAGGGAAAGTAAATGAGGGAAATAGTTGTGGAAATAAGAGGAGTGGTTAAGTATAAGGAAAAATAAGAGAGGCTGAGGGATGAGGATTTATTAAGAGTTCTAAAGTTTTATTAATTAATTCTTCTCCTATTTCACTATTTAGTTTTGAAATCTAATTGTGAGCAATAACTCTTGTTAAATATNTGAAGATTAATAAAATAATTAAACTGATTATTTATTATCATATCCATAAAGTACCTACAACCATTTATTAAACAGCTGCCTAGGGCCCGTGCATGAAAGGTCCTGGCCCATGTGTTGACTCATCCTGAATATTACCATAGCCTGGACAGAACGTAAATCTTACGGTCGCAAACAGTCAATATTCAATTCCATACAACTCAAGATTATGCGGCATTTTCATTTAATTAACGAATAAGATAAAACACAAGCGTAGGCAGTATGCGCCACGCGTGTATTGCCGCTCCACGCGCTCCAGTGTACAGGGCCTTTATTTTTCTTTTTCAACCCTTTAGAATGGGTTTTTTGCAAAATCTGTTGTTATCGTTAGTGCGCTCCTAGGTCATATAATTAGAATATGCTGTCAAAATTTAATTCAAATCGTCTAATAGTTTCGGCTGCTGATCATTAATCAGTCAAATTACCTTTTGTTTTTCAAATGGAATGACCCGTGTTAAATGATACCATTCGATGCGAAATTAAAAATCCTTTGTACTGATACAAGGTTTTAAATGTAAAATCATCGATTTATTTCTGAAGAATTGTCAGAGATAAATATTTAAAACATTATATCAGTAGAAAGGGCATCCAATTTCACATCAAATGGTGTAATTTAATTTTTTATTAAATGTATTATAACAGAGACGAAACCGCCTTAGGTGGAATACCCTGTATATACAGATTTTACGTATACTTACATGACTTATTTTTTTAAAATGTCGTTTCTACGGATTGAAATTTTGATGTTTGCAGTAAATTTATGGAAATCGAATAAATGCATTTTTTTCGCAAGTAATTTATCATTACTTAACCATTTTCATTGTTCTGTTTATAGTGAAGTACTATAGACAGATATGATCTAAATATTTATCTATACGTTTCACCTAATATAAATGCCTGCAATTTCTTCAGCAATCGCTTGTCGTATATTAGTCTTTTTATCGAGCTCATCTAATTATGAGTGTATTAATAATAGTGATCCTTTTGACTACTTTATTTCAAAGCTTAATCGAAGCTGAAATTATCTATAATGGTAGTTCTACAGCCAAGGACGAATGGTGGAAACATGCAACATTTTATCAGGTTTATCCTCGAACTTTCAAAGATAGTGATGGCAATGGGTTGGGTGATTTAAATGGTGTTATTAGCAAATTGCCACATCTGGTAAATGCCGGGGTAAATGCTGCATGGTTTTCCCCAATTTTCAAGTCTCCTGGGGTCGACTCTGGTTACGATATTAGCGATTTTAGAGATATTGATGAACAATTTGGAACTATGAGTGATTTTGAGCGGCTTGTTCAGAGAGCCCACGAACTTGGCCTAAAAATTATTTTAGATTTTGTTCCCAATCATACTAGCGATCAACACGTATGGTTCCAGTTGTCCAAAAATAAAACTGAGGGTTACGAGGATTACTACGTTTGGAAGGATGGCTATAATTCAACAACTCCCCCCAACCATTGGGTAAGTTTAACATTCCCAATTTAAGCAGTGTTTGATTAAAGAGATGTACGAATATTCAAAATACTACAAAAAACTTTAGAATAGGTCTATTTGATTACTGTGAAAGAATATTAACTGTTACCATTTGCTGTATTAATTTATTATTAGGATAAGAATTTGTAAGTAGAATTAAATCGTTGATAGGCAGTACAAGTTTGAATTGTCGCTAGAGCTAATGATAGATTGATCTTATCTTGGTTTGAAAATAAATAAAATATCAGAAACAAGATGCTCACATGAGATCGGCATCAAGAGGCACATGTCGGAAACTTATTTTATCAAGACTAAGACTGCTTAGATTATTAAGATTATGGGTGTATCTCGTTCTCCAATTAGGGCCACTGACGATGCAAATAGAAAACAGATACTAATGTATTAGAATGTTTTATATGCTTCAGAGGCCTGAGTATGTTGAGAATTCATTTTCATTTCTCTTCATTGCTGGTTTCTAAGTGTCTATTATCTCTAAATCCACAATCTAACTATCACAATGCCTCCAGGTTTCATTGAGTTATGTAATGAGCAGTGGCGGATTATCCGTCAGGCAAACTAGGCACATGTCTAGGGGCGCAAGGATAAAGAGGGGCACGTGCGGAAGTTTTTAAACTAAAAAGAATTAAGGAAGAAAAATTACAAAAAGTCTTACTTTTCATAGATGTTAAGCTTCCGAAACGTGCCTCGTATTATATATTATTTTGCATGTCTATGAAATGCCAGCCTAAGGCGCTCTCGACATTTAATTCGCCTCTGGTAATAAGCCATGACCCTTCGCATGATAGAAGCATAATTTTTACTGTATAATATGGACATGTAACATGCAATTTCATGCGTAATCATTTGTGGTACAGATCGTGATATATTTGCACAATTTTTTTATTCAGTTGATTTTTAACTTTCTGTCATTAAAATTATCAGAAACTATTATAATAATAATAATTTTAGGTTCAATACACTAATAGTAATTTAAAAGCAAATAAGTAATAATAATCTCAGAATTTGCTAATATTTTTAGTCGAAACGTAAAAAATAAAAAAAATCCAATGTTGTTCGATGATAAAGTTAATTAAATGTGACACATTTACAGAAAAAAAAGATAATAATAATAATGATTACAAAAACAAAGATAATTTTTTTTAACAAAAAAAAGGTGTTTTTAAATTATGTGTTGCCCGAAAGTACATGAATTTTGAAAAGAACGTTATAGTAAAAGACATAAAAAAGTTTTCTTTTTAACGTCACTAACCAATAAATATTGCTATTTATATTTTTCTTTGAGAAGCTTTCCGCATCATAGTAATTGTTTAGTACCAATACATCCCAAAAATTTCGATGCAATATCTTTTGGGGACAATTACCATATGCTTATCCCTCCATATGACTTTTCTTTATAAATAACATTATTTGCATTCAAAGTATTGATACACAAAAAAATATCAACATCTGGAGGATTAAAAATGAGTCACGATAATATCAAGATCACGCACACAAAAATGACACGAGAACAATAATTTTTATTATTTTCAGATAACAAGATGATATTTTGAAAAATATTTTGTTTTGCAACAACAATCTCTAATAAATGTAGCGTTGTTATGTTGATTAATTAATTGATATACAATGTAATCTTGTTTATACCTTCTTGTTAATTAGAAAGCGAATACTGTATTACTAGTGCACGTGTAATTTGTACTTACAAGACTGGGGTAAGACAGGATATTTTCGAAATATCGATCTTGTTATCGAGAAATAATGAAAATTCGAGTCTTATCTTGTTCATGTATTAATCTTTAATACGTGATGTTTATATTGTCTTGATTGATTTAAATCTTGCATTAAGAAATCTTAATCTCGACCATCTAAAGTACTTACCTATTAAAATCAGATCAAAATAAAATTAAAACATAAGAAAATGCTTCAATAAGATTAGCAGTGATCATATGATTAAATTACCTGCTATCTTTATATTTATTTATTTTCATACACATTTTAAATAACATCCTTTTGTTTCTCTATTGCCGATAGTCCCAATTCGAGAACAAGATATACTCAAGATCTTAAGTAATGGCCATGAAGTCATTAGCATCTTTTTCTCTCAAGATCGATATTTTATTCTTCAATCATGTGGCATCTCCCCTGTATTATAAATATTATTTCCGCGAATGGAGTTTCTCTTTGAATTTATTTGCCACAATGGCTATGTTATAACAGATATTATAATAGAATTTAAAGTAAGTGTAAGCAGTAATATTTGCAAATTATCAATAATTGATTTCGAATTTACAAATTAAACAGCACTTATTCGATTAAATAGTTAATTTAACAATAATCAAGTAGCTAATAACTAAATTTCTTATTTTCATAAAGATTAGCATTTTCCTAAATTCTGCCTGGGAATATGTGGCGGAGAGGGACCAGTTTTATTACCATCTATTCACCAACGCTCAACCTGAGTTAAACTACAGAAACCCTAAAGTTGTACAAGAAATGAAAGTAAGTTATAATTTAATAGTAATTCATTAATTAAAAATATTTCATTTTTAATATGAAATATTAATCTGAAAATTCATTTTTTGAATTTTTTACCCACTACACGCTACCTCAAATTAATGAGGGAAAAATTGTTGCTGTTGTCACCTCTCGTAGTTTAGTGGTCAAAACATTGGTGCGTAAAGCCAAAG